CGTTCATCTACGGCAAGTGTGAATGGCGACAATCACTGTTATTACGACAATGAATCGAGTTACCAAGATACAGGCGTCTACGATTGCGATGGCAATATGTTACCAGACTTACTGGATTCTCAAATAGATAATTCCCTAAAAGGATTGGATATGGGTGCCATAAAGAAAAACTCCTACGATCGAACTCGAGCTGCGATGGCGGTAAGACGAAACTTTATTCTCGGTTGTACAATTTGAAGTGCTTTAATTCACGAGGCATTTCGATTGTGTTGTAGTGGAGGGTTTAGTGTGGATCCATTAGTATTACTTATTCATCAGTGTTTCAGTTTCCTAGGCAGGAAACAGCTGTAGAGGCAGTAATATTGTGGTTTGGCGATTTTGTTAAATAGTCGATGTAGGGTTTTAGCTTGTTCTGCACGAATCATCTCTCGAGCGCGTGATACAACGGAAATTAAGGTACGCACTCGAAATAATAACACAGTAATGTCATGTCATGAGCCTATTGCAAAATTCTGAATTAAAAATCTGTCGGAGGCAAAGACAGTTTGACGGGCCTTTTTTTATTGATTTGTTACGGGTTCAAAATGTAAAGAGTCCCTTCGTCATAATTGACTGCGATGGAAAATTCTTCTGTTTTCTATTTCAGCGTATAAATCAATTGTCATAAAGGCGGTTTTGATTAAACAAACACATGTGACTTTTCTGTGTGTCTGTTGTTTTACTGGAGGCATTCAAGTAGTGGTTACAGTCTCCTGACGGTACAGCCACTTCTTAGAGACACATTCTAGCCTGTGAATGTTCCAAGAATCTGCCAACTAATAGTTGATTTCATGAAAAGAAAAAATAAAATTCAAATCATATGACTTTTGTGCTGTAATTTAGAATTTCATCAGTGACACTTTTTCAAGGAATCTCTGAGGTCTTTTGCTTTATCTTAACATCAGCTTGGCTGGGGTGGTAGTTTTTACACAACCTGTCGCTAAATTGTGAATCCCTTGAAAATCACTGTAAAAAGCTTTATAATTGGAGATGGTTTGAGATAGTGACCTCCAGGAGTGCCAGATAGGGTACAAAAATAATTTTGTTGAATGATGGTGACTGGCAGTTTTCCATACTTCCAGTGCTTCTGTCACAAAAATTTCAAATTTTTTGACAGTGAATCTGTTATTGGTCAAGACATCCTCATGAATGAGAGATTTTATTCTTATTTTGAATTTCTCAAGCAAGAAATTAGAGATTCTGCAGGAATTAATTTTGGGAGATGAGTTTGGAAGATATCAATGTAAGCTCTTTGACTTAGGGGATTAAAATAGCTCATGATTTCAAGATTACTGGTTATTCCTCTTTCTGTCTGCTTAGACAGCGTTTTAATTAAGAAATGTATTAGTTGAAGTGTACTGTAAAATAACAGAAGGTGCTTCACTCATTTTAATTTAAAAATAGCTCTGGCCAACAAAAGATATGCAAAAACTCTGCATAGTACAGAATTTTCTATTATCTGATGTGTAACGAACACCCAGATGTGATATAAAATTTAGGAGGTTAGATGGTCAAGAGCTTTGTATTTAGCAGGACTTTATGCACAGTGCCCATGTTATTATTTCTCTCTGGGTTTTTAGGACTATGTGATACCATGCAAACAAATAATCTAGTCAGCTTTAAGAGATAACTGATAATATGGACAATTATTTAAATCAGCTTTATTTAGGATTTGAGGTAGAAACCAAATGAAGGCACTGTAAAGTATTTTAATTATTTCTCCTATTACAACAATGAAAGTTTTTTTAAAATTGATTTGTTTCACAAATTTGTCACCTATAGGAAGCTCATGTACTGTTCTGTTACTTTCTAATATTTTAGTGTATTTTCTTGAAATTATTTTTTTGATAATCTGAGATCTGTGGTTAGAATTTGAGGCCTCCCCTTCAACTTTTAATTATGTGGTTTTTGTAGCAGATCTCTGTCTTTAAACTCAGACTTATCTTAAACTTGTATATAAAATTATTCCTCAACACTCAGAGACCTAGAGCTCTTCTTCTAATTCAATTTTACATCAGTAAATGAATTAAAACTAAATATGATTTTAGTTAATTCTGAAAAAAATAATACCTGATCAGAAAAATCTAAGCTGATTGTTTTCAGATCAACTTGAAATTGAAAACCATAAATAGGAACTTAGGGGTAATATATACAGTAAGCTATACCGGTAAGTATTTTAGGATCTAAAATTGTAGATTGTTGAATTCTCACTGAAACACACTGATTTTCCTAAGTTCTGTATGTGAACAATCATCCTAACCCTGTAACTCTCATGTGTGACCAAGAATGAATTTCTCCTTACAGTAATAGTACAATATCAAGCAGATGAGTAATGAGAATAAAGAAAAATATCAATTAAGGCAGGGCTCAACACAAACTTTTCAACTTACTAGCCAAGTGGCTAGCGACTTCTCAGATGTCTTAGATGTTATGACAATTTCAGTCTGTTTGTTAGCCAAACTGGCTAGTGGAAATTGAAAACCACTAGGCAAAACTGAATTTCTACTAGTCTGTGGCTAGTGGGCTACTGTTAGTGTCAAGCCCTGTAAGGGTTATCACTTGATCCAATACCAAATTCTCTCAAGTAACAACATATGAATTGTATAGCAGACAGTTAGGAGAATTACTATTTACATCTTGAGATTGAAAGCGTTAAATGTTAGTATCTTTTCATCACTGCTGTACATTCAAGGGATAGGTGTACAATGCTTATGAAATTCTTCTTTGTTTGATCTCAACAGGCAATAAATCCAATGCTGGCCAAAAAAGTGTTACCTGTTGTAAGTGGAGATTTTTCTATTGTTTTTTCCTTCTACTATCATTCACATAGACCTAATTGCAATAAAAATTAATTGTCGTTGATTAAAGCAAAAATGAAAAAGGAAAAAAACGAATAGGAATAAGGGAGTATATTGAAATACCCTTTGGCAAGAGTATATACATGGCAGCCAAACATTTTTTTGCAGAATTTCAAGTGAAAAATTCTTTCAAACTGCATGAGAGTCTCAGATGTTTAGAATTTTCAAGCAATTGCCAAAAGTTAAAAGGAAAATCTATGCTGAGATTGCATGCTCATACTATATGCATTTTTCTACATCTTTTCAACCACATTTACAGTGATTACAATCACATCTTAAACAGATTTGTGACAATCAAATCTCTTTGATGGCTTGTGATTATTTGACAAGAAATCTCTTCTCAAGGAAAATAAATGTCTATTTTTCTAAATTCATTTTTTTTCTTTTCACTCTTAGTTAGAAGAAGTTTTTTAGAATTCATGTTGATGCTACAAAAAGTAATGTTGTGGTTGATATCTTTTGGGTTTGTTATTGCATGACATTTCATTGAATGCAACACTTGGGGACTGTAATGCTTAATAATCAACTTAGTAGTCAGCTCAGACAAATCCTTACAAAGCAGAAAAATGTCTGGAAGTGGAGTTGATTGGTTAATCAGTTCCAGATCTTGTTAGCTCTTTCAGTTTTCCATAGGATTTTTATGTTTCGAAGCTAAGAAACATGGTTGATTAATGAACAGCAGTGGGTATATCTAATTCTAGCCAAAATCTTTACCATCTTCCTGGATGCATCCTCAATTAGGTGTATGTTTCAAAAACCACAGCAAAGAAACAAAAAAAGTTTGTTCTGTTTGCTGGGTCCTTAATGGTGACAGGGTTCATAAGTGTTACGGAAATTCTGTAAATTCATTTGAAGTTTCTGGGTGTGCAAAGTCATAGAATTTAATGGTGAGACATGAAACATTACCTCATTGAAAAAAGTTTTGCAAGAAATTAAGTAAAGTCATAAATAATTATTTTTTACACCTGTACGCTTGGTTTGTTTTTGGTAAATTTGTTTTGTCCAGAAAGGGTTTTTTTTTTAGCATTTTTCTGTGTCAAGTCATAGTGCCCATTCTAAGTCAGAGCTTCTAAAAGCTAATTCCACAAATGAATTAAAAAGTTTTGTCAATAAATTGTTATATATTTCTTCTTAATCACAGCCAAATGAACTTACAATAGAGGAAGCTGCAGCAATTTGTATCCAAGCTCATTATAGAGGATATTTAGCCAGAAAGCTTTTTGTTCAGCTGCTGTACGAAAGATTCATCAAGGTTGGTTAATAAAAACAAATGTATGTGTCAAAAGTGTAGATCTATGCCTGCTTAATAATTTTAGAAATTTTGCCAAGTAGTGTGGCATTCTAATTTCTTTCAGAATCCTTTGCCATGCAAAATTCTCTAAGGCACACTTTCAAGTCTTTATAACTCACAAGATTGAATTAGTAATTCTTATTGTCATTACAATTTCTTGTATATTAGAGAGGAGAATTTGGTCTCATCCAAAATACCACCCTCTAGCTCAGATAAGCTTCAGTCTTTATTCTCTCTTAACTTGTTTACAAGATAACGTAGAGAAATTACAGGGAGAAGTTACATGTTAATCACTACAGGGTTAAGGTCTAGAATCAGTTTAAATAAAGTTTGTAATTCAGTGTATTTTTTTCCTTGCTTGAAATGCATGATCAATTCAGTATTAAGCTAATAGATTTCTGGCCATTAAGATGAGCTCTAAGTAACATGCATCATACTGCAGGCTTACTAAGATTTCTTGATTGTGTTATTTCTTTGTATTTGTCTTCCAGTTTGTTTATACTTTAGGCAGATGAAGATCGTCTTTAAAAATAGAAGGGAAAATGATAACATTTCAAGCATGCACAGAGTCGTACTCTTGTTAATGTTCAATATTTTCATAGGCAAAAACTGAAGCATTCACTCCCGGACACAGGAAGTTTCTCTAGGTTTAACTAAATTTGTTGAACAAACAAATGAGTGTTTTACATTATGTCGTGGTCTAGGCAATGCTTATTCACTTTTACTTGCAAATTATATCCATGCTCTTAATACAAAGTAATATGCAGTCTGGGGATTGTGAAAACAGTAGCTGAAATGTCACAGATAATCTAAATACGCAATTACTCTTAGGAGATTTCTCACTGATAAACCTAAACAGAACTGAAGTCTCCTGAGTGTTTGTTCAGGTTTGTAATATCTTTTAGGTTATTTTGTTCAATATCTCATAAAAGACAAAGGAAACTGATTTAAATTGCAATTGAATTTTTGTTTTGCAGTATTTGATGGTGTTATTATTTGTTTTCGCCGTAGGAGGAAGAGGAAAGAGAAGCGAAAACGAGAGAGCAAGTGGAAGAAGGAGAAATTCTGGTGGAAAAGTAAGTGGTGAAGATAAATTCACATCCGTGTTCAGTGATCAACTGTTTGCTATACAGATAAATCTCTGAAACAAGGCTATGGAAGGGTTATTCAAATGTATGTTATCACATTTAGATTCAGATGTTCTTGAAATGACAAAAATGAGATTTCTCTTTTAGCTACTACCTTTGTTATGATGCATAATTTTTTAAGGGAGGAGATATTTTTCTCTGCAGCTCTTCTTTTGTAGGGAGGAAGACTTAAATGATATTACAGCTCGTAATGCACAATGCTACACTGTAGACATAATGAGACAGGTTAAATTTATGTTTTTAGGACTATTAAGTAGAAAGTGTATTTTTTCATGTGTGTTCATATCCACGATTTGTAGGAAGTGTTACTGATCTGTACAGTTAATCTTTTTGCTACTTCATCAAGTTTAAATCTGCATTTATAATCCCACATGTAGCAAAGTTGAATTTCAATATGTTGACTGTAATAATTTTGTGGCCAAAAAAAAACATTGAATTTCATGAATTCGGATTTCATAGCTTAATGCCAATGGTAGCACGTAAAAATGTGCTTTGTATTTCTCAATGAGTTAAAAACTTTAAGGTTTGGTTCACTTAGAAAGTATTTTTGAGTTTTTTTTTTTATTTTTTTTCCTTCATCTTCAGTAATAGAAGGATTTTTTCCCTTAGGCTTTTTTATATTTTGCATTAAGATCTCCTTTATTGGCAGAATATTATTGATGAAGATGCATGGAATTTGATAGTGTCTGAGATAGGAATAACATGCCCTTATTTGGAAATAATTTTGTAGGCTGGCTGTCCTTCTAAAAATGTTATTTTTATTCTAATGAGTTGCTTCAAGACAGCAATTTGAAAGTCATATTTTGATTACAACCTAACAATGAATTGAAAATGTAGATTGTTAAAAATTAAAAGGAAAGACCACATCAGATCGCAAAATAACACACAAAAAAAACTATATCAGAAATTTTTGTCTGGGGTTTTTATGATAAAAAATTCATTGAAAATTTCCCATTTAAAAACCATACAGTATCAATTTTTATTGTTAAAAGTTTGATGTATCAAAGTTGAAATAATGGTTTAAGGGTTACAGAGTAAAACAAGTTTTTTTATCAACCACAAAATGCTAAAAATAACATGGGCAGAGTTTATGGTGAAAGATTGAAAGCAAGATTTTATTTGTAATTTGAACTTTTTCTCACTTCATCACGTCTAGACAGCCAGATATATTTAATGTTAAGTAGCTATTCTCTATACTGAATTTGTCTGTTTAGAAACATGGTTTAATTTCTTTTATACTATATTTTACTTTTATTTTAACAGCTATCGCTTAAACCTTGAAATGGAAGAAAATACTTGTTTACGCAAAAACCTCCGGCGGGGAGTTGAATGCGATGTTATAACGTGAGTTTCATTCTTTAAGTTTTTGTCACTTAAATCTGAAGTCCTAAGTTATAGTGAGTTGTTTGTTGTACAAAGAATGAAACATTATCTCTAATTTTATTTATTATGCAGATATTGAAATTCCATTTTTGAGAGGAACATTTTTTCAGTTCAAAACAGCTTTTCTTCTCTTTCTCAAAGTCTTAGATTTGAGTCATAAAAGGGGCAGTGGCATCTAAATTTTTGATAACATTGAGTGAACTAGTGTTAAGACGAGCCAGTTGTTGTTTAACCCACACTTACAGTTACTTGAAATAACACACTTTTATGATGCAATTTTCTTAACTGTTAATGCTTTCTCATCATCAGTTTTTTATAAATATCATGATTCTATGGGAATGCCCCCCTTAATGTTTCCCCAAATTAAGTGCCTCATTTAAGGGAACACTTGACAAATGCGGCAGTATTTAAGCAGGTTAATACAACTGTTACAGTTATTTACCCTGTACACCTTAAATTAGTAAGCATATATTCTGTTCACTAGACATCTCCTGAGCTGTTGACAAGCAGAGTTTAAGAGCTTTGTTAGTTAGTGATCATGTCCTTTGTTCTTATTCTAACCTCCCGGTTAGAGTGCCGGACTGTTGTGAGGGGGGACGTGAGTTCAAATCCGGCCGGACAACACTCAGGGTCTTTAATTAACTGAGAAGAAAGTGCTGCCTTTGTAATGATATCTGCAAACGGTTAGACTTTGTAGTCTTCTCGGATAGGGACGATAAATGGAGGTCCCGTCTCCTGCAGGGTTGGGGTAGGAGACATTAATTTCCCACACACGAGATTA